GGAATCCTAACATGGCTTGGAATAAAAATCAAGGTATATCAGCGTACATGTATAATAAACTAATAAACTGGCATTTGTACAGTGCACAGGAAGCGTGTGTATTGGGAAGCTGGTGTTAGTATAACATCAAAACTATGAATAAGTATTAAAGTCAGAAAATCTGCAAGGTTTGGGTGTCTGCTTCATTCCCCCTCTCTTTACTGCACAGCCAGAATCCTTTATAGTACACTACAGTTTTGAAAACAAAACCAAAAGGTAATACATTAGTGCAAGTGTTGTGTAAGAGATCTTAGCTTTTGGAATTTCTGAGTATAAAACTATGGTAAGGGTAGATGTAGTTACATTTTTTTAAGATAATTGTTCCATTTTAAATGTGAAATAAAATGCTGGAAAATGGCGGATATAATATCTTAATTTCTAGTACGTTAATGACTTGCTTTCTTAGGAGAATGCTTGGGAGGCACCTCAGCAGTGCTGGATATCAGGAGAGCCACAGAGTAAACCCAGTTTGAAATGAGTCATTGTGAACTGGAGGGGATCATGTCTCCTTTTTTGTAAGGAATCTGACTTTACTGAACTGGCTCTTCCATGAGATCTTACTTACAAAAGCATCACCAAGAAATAGTTCCTGCATTGGGATAAAGGCTTTGGGTAAATGCAAAGGCTGCAGTGAAAGAGAAAAAATCCTGACCTTAAGATGCACATTCTCACAACATCTTTTATTTTTTGAGGAGTAGGCGGGATTACTGCTATGCCTAATGAAGTATGGGCTTAACATTGCTGGCAGAGATTATGAGGATGTATAAAAGATACAACTAGAAAGTTTGAGGGTAGGGTTAAAAAGTCTGTGTTTATTTTCATAACACTAATTATTATAGAATTAATTTTCTTCAGATAAGAGGTTAAGTGCCTCTGCGGGAGCCAAAGGCACAGTTCTTGAGCATTTGTGTTTTAATCCATGTGAGAAGTGTATATATATTTCATGTATATATTTTATATATGTTCTGTCTGATATATGTTAATATTGATGCTCTTTATGAGGGCTATTGAATTATACAAGTATATAATGCTTTAAATTGAAAATTTGGTGAAATACTTTTTTATACATATTTGAAAAGATGCAGCTTAACCTTTTTGGCAGGTAATGTTACCTTTTGGGAGGTAGTAAGGTTTGGTGTGTTATTTGGAGAGGGAATTTGGAACAGAAGGAGGTTTGCATTTCAGCTTCATTACTTCATTCACTGCTGGTGAATGCAATGTGTTTTTGCAATATGTCACATACTTTCAATATTCTGCAAGTTATTCAAGTTATTTACAGTAACAGTTCTCCTGATTTATATTCTCACAATACTGTGTTTGAACTTCCTGTGACTCTAGTGATGTTTGTAGGAGAGGCTGTGCACCAAAAGCTGTTGGTAGGTTGTCTGCTGAAATTATCCCAGATGCGTAGTGAACACAAAAGCAAATCAAGTATAATGATCTTCTCATACAAGTTTCCTGAAATCAATCTCACCCTAAATATAAAGACAGATTTGAAAATGTAAGACTGCTTTGACATTTCCTTATGAGCACTTTTTCTAAAATATGTTTTTGCAGTGGCTTTGCCTCCAGAGAAGACAGATGGAATTTGCAGTGCAGATGAAAAGAAAGCAGAAAAAGAAAGTGACACAAGCAAAGGTTCCAAGAAGCAACTGAAATTTGAAGTAAGTCCTCTATATTTTTTAAATTGCACTGTACTGACATAATTATGGTAGGAAAATAACCTCTGGACCAAATACTGTCCTCTGATGCATGTGTACAGCTCCCAAAGGTTGTAATGAGTACACGAGGAAGCAGAATTGACACAAGTCTTACTGCTGGTGCTCCTTATGATGTGATGAGAGAGACTTATTTCCAGATTTGGAAACAATCTAATGACAATCATTCCTCTGTAGGATCTGCAATGTATAGTAAGTAGAGGTGTACAGTTTAGTCCTTTTACCTATAAGCTTTTAATTAGTAATATATTATGCCAGCTACCTTGTTATCAAATCTTTAGATTGGCTTTTATGGACTACTGCACTTGTTTAAATCTGCCTAGTGTAAAAAATGTTTATGAAAGCTTCCTTAAGTATGGTCTTTTGTGCCTGGTCCTCCAAAGTGAAATAACCCTGACCTGCTACACAGAAAATCCGTCAGATCACATGGCAGGAGGATAAGGATCCTGGAGGGGAAGGAGTCTGAGTGTCTATTTCCTTGTAGACTTAAAATCATAAAACTGCCAGACATTGTGTGTAGATGGCAGGGTTTTTTATATAGGGAGTGATTTAATAAAGAAGAGTATTGAAACATACTGTCATCCAGCTAGAGGGTTATCT